TCTCACCTTGTCACTCACACACAATCAAGAGAGTGAGATTGCACTGCAGGGAGTCTCTAGTTCTTCAAAAATAACAAAACGGAGCAAATTGCAATCCCAGACCTCCACACCACCCAAAACAAGTCCAGGAGGCATCAACACAGAAGAGCCTGAAAGTCATACACCTGAAATTTCTGAAATGATGGCAACTGAAGTAAAAAAAAAAAGCTTCGTCAGGTGATAGAAGACATCAGATCAGAAATAATGTCTCAGGTGAGAAAAGAAATGACAACAATAATGAAAGAAATGTTCAGCATATACAAAGATGACATAGACAAGAAAATAAAAGAGCATAGACAATTCAATGAAACCTTCAGGGAACAATACAGAAAAGAACTAGAAGGTACGAAACAGACGCAAACAGATATTCAGGGAATATCCTTTCCATTGAAAGCTTGTAAAACTGCCTGAATGAAGCTGAAGATAGACTTTCAGACCTTGAAGACAACATTGCCACTAATGAACGTGAAAGGAGGGATCTCTTAAAAACAACAAAGAACCAGGAAATAACAATTCAACAACTGCAAAGAAAAGCAATGTAAGTTTAATAGGTGCTAATGAAACGGCAGGTGTCAAAACAAATGACATAAAAAGACTATTTGCAGAAATAATAGCAGAAAATTTCCCAGACATGGAAAAAGAATCAGACACCCAGTTAAGTGAACCATATAGAACTCCAGTTAATCATAACACAAAAAAAATCTACACCCAGACATATAGTGATCAAGATCCCAGAAACTCAACACAAGATCAGAGTAGTAAAAGCTGTTAAAGAAAAGAAACAGATCACCTATAAAGGAAAGCCCAGCAGACTCACAGCAGACTTCTCAACACAAACCATCAAGGCAGGAAGAACTTGGAGTGAAGTACTTCAGGTACAGAAAGAAAACAACTTCTAACCCAGATTGATGTACCCTGCAAAGCTATCTTTCAAATTTAATGGAGAAATAAAATATTTTCATGATAAAGAACTAAAGAAATTCATCAGTGCCAAGCCAATCCTATAAAGAGTACTAAAAGATATACTAGAAAGAGATAAAACAAACTGCAACTTCAAGAACAACATAAAGAAACCAACAAGCAGAACAAGCAATTAAACAGAGGGAAAAAGGAGGATTCAACAGCAGGAATATAGTATGACAAAGATAATCCACTACATATCAGTTATAACCATCAATGTGAATGGTCTCAATGTGCCAACCAAAAGAAGCAGATGTGCAGAGTGGATTAGGAAAAAAAAACCAACTATATGCTGTATACAAGAAACACATTTAACTCAAAAGGAAATTCAAAAACTGAAAATTAAAGGATAGAAAACAATACTCCATGTGACAGGAACCCAGAAAAAAAGTGGGTGTAGCTATTCTGCTTGCAGACAAAGTGAACTTCAAGCCAAGAACAATCACAAGAGATAAAGAAGGTCGCTACATACCTGTGAGGGAGAAGCTCCAAGAGGAAGAGATAACAATCATAAACATCTATGCACCAAATATAGGAGCACCCACCTGTATAAGATAAATTCTAACTGACATGAAAAATGAAACAAGTAGCAACACAATCGTAACAGGGGACTTTAACACACCATTGTCACAAAGAGATAGATCAACTAGAACAAAATTTGGGAAAGAAATAACAGAACTGAATCAAACTTGTGAACATATGGACTTAGTAGACCTTTAGAGAGTTCTCCACCCAGCAGCATCAGAATACACATTGTGGTCAGCTGCACAAAGGGCATTCTCCAAAATAGACCATATACTAGCACATAGAGCATGCTTAAGTAAATGCAAAGGAATTGAAATTATTCCATGAATACTATCAGACCATAGTGCAATGAAATTGGAAATTAATGACAAAAGAAAGCACAAAAACTCCATAAACAGTTGGAAATTAAATAATACCCTCCTGAACAACCAATGGGTCACAGATGAAATCAAAGTAGAGATTAAATACTATTTACAAACAAACAAAAATGGAGATACAACATACAGGAACCTGTGGGATGCAATGAAAGCAGTCCTCAGAGAGAAATTTATAGCAGTGAACTCCCACCTTACAAAAACAGAACAAGCACAAATAAACAATCTTATGCTGCAGCTCAAGTTCCTAGAAAAAGAAGGGCAAGTCAAATCCAGAACCCAAAGAAGGCAGGAAATTATAAAGCTCAGAGCAGAAATTAACACAATGAAGACTAAAAAATATATAAACAATTAATGAATCAAAGAGTTGGTTCTTTGAAAAAATAAATAAAAGAGATAAACTTCTAGCCAATCTTATCCAAAAAAGGAAAGAAAAAACTGAAATACATGCAATAAGGAATGAAAGGGGTGAAATCACTACAGATCCTGAAGAAATTCAGAAGATCATAAATACCTACTTTAAAAATCTTTCCTCTCATAGGATGGAAAACACAGAGGAAATGGACGGATTTCTAGATATACATGAATTAGCAAAGCTGAAGGAAGAAGATAAAAAATCCTGTTTAACTCAATATCAACCAGTGAAATTGAGAATGCAATTAAAAACTTGCCAATAAAGAAAAGCCCTGGTCCTGATGGATTCACAGCTGAATTCTGCAAGCAATTTAGGGAAGGTTTAACACCAATTTCTCTCAAACTGTTTAATGAAATTGAAAGGGAAGGAATTCTCCCCAAATAATTCCTGGAGGCAAGTATTATTCCAATACCAAAACCAAAGAAAGACCCAACCAAAAAAGAGAGCTACAGGCCAATCTACTTAATGAATATAGATGCAGAAATTCTCAATAAAATACTAGCAAACAAAATACAACAAGGCATCAAGAAGATTATACACCATGACCAAGTGGGATTCATCCCAGAAATGCAGGGACGGTTCAGTATACGCAAGTCAGTCAATGTGATACATCACGTCAATAGAGCCAAGGACAAAAATCACATGATCATCTCCACTGATGCAGAAAAAGCCTTCCATAAAGTCCAACACTCATTCAGGTTGAAAACCCTACAGAAATAGGAATAGATGGCCTTAACCTCAAGCTGATCAAAGCCATCTATGATAAACCAACAGCTAACATCGTACTAAATTGTCAAAAATTGAAAGCTTTCACTTTAAAATCAGGAACAAGACAAGGATGTCCACTGTCACCACTCCTATTCAATATAGTTCTGGAAATATTGGCTAGAGCAATTAGAAAAGAGAGAGAAATAAAAGGAATAAGGGTATGAAAGGAAGAAGTGAAATTGTCATTATTTGCAGATGACATGATACTCTATATAGAAGACCCCAAAAACTCCACCAAAAGGCTCATTGATTTAATACCCAAATTCAGTAGTGTAGCAGATACAAAGTGAACACTCAAAAGTCATTAGCATTCCACTATACAAGTAACGCACAGACTGAGAGAGAAATGAGGGAAACCACACCTTTCACAATAGCATCTAAAAAGATGAAATACTTAGGAATTAATCTAACAAAAGAAGTAAAAGATCTATACAGTGAAAATTATAGTACTCTGAAAAAAGAGATCAAAGAGGATATCAGAAAATGGAAAGATATTCCGTGCTCATGGATAGGAGGAACCAACATTGTGAAAATGGCCATATTCCCAAAGAGTTGTACAGATTCAATGCAATTCCAATTAAAATACCATTAGCATACCTCATAGATCTAGAGAAAACTCTCTTAAAGTTCATCTGGAATCAGAAGAGGCCTAGAATAGCTAAAGCAATCTTGGGAATCAAAGCAAAGGCAGGAGGCATCACAATTCCTGACTTAAAATTATATTACAAAGCTATTATGGTAAAATCAGCATGGTACTGGCAGAAAAACAGACCTGAAGATCAATGGACAGATTAGAAAATACAGATACAACTACAGACACACTCAGTCACCTTATCTTTCACAGAGGGGCCAAACATGTTCAGTGGAAGGAAGATGGCCTCTTTAATAAATGGTGCTGGAAAAACTGGCTTTCTACATGCCAAAGACTAAACTAGACCCATGTCTTCCACCATGCACTAAATTAAAATCTTAGGCACTATTTATGGTGCAGTACCAATTTTGGGGGTATATTTGCCCTTTTAGAATTCTTTCTATTTTTTAAAGCTTAGTCCACTGCAAGCAATGTGCAACCCAGAATTAGACTGCTGATTAAATTACAGTCATTCTGTGGCCTGCACAGAGGAGCAATTTTTTAAGCAATTGAGTTTTGCTATGGGGCTTCGCATCACTCGTTTGTAGGTCTAGGTCTGTATCAATGGGGAGTCAATAAGAAGTCTAACCTAATAGAATATTCTACTATGAAGACAAAGGTCTAGTGCACTGTTTCTAGTGCAAGGCCTATCTTTCCCTTAAGAGAAGACAGTAATAGATACCTTATGGGAAAGCATAAGGAACATTCATGAAAATAAAGTCTCCCTTACCATTACGGAATCGAAGCTACTACAGAAAGTGATTCAGATATTTCTCACTATGAGATATGAGGCACTTTCCTCTATACCACCTTTATCTGTGGGTTTGCCAGTTATTTAAGCTTTGACATGTAGAAAGCTCGTTCACACACTAAGCTCTTGTACTCAGAAGTGCATATGTGCCCCACCTCCAAGACTGTCCATAAACTGAGAAGACAAGGGTCAACAATACAGCAGTACAACTGATGATAATTGCATAGGCCAAAAGAACTGACTTCTTCTCCTTGGGTCCAACAGAAAGGAAAGGAAAACACCCATGTACTGGAGTAAGCTAACTCACCCAAAGGTTGTCCCCCAACTTCTGAATCTTGTAGAGGAGACCTAAAATAAACTGACTGGATGATCAAAGACTAGAATGTTCCATGGGCTCCAGGGAACGTCAAGCCAATATCATACTGAGGGGAGGAATTATTTCACTCACCTTTGAATCTCCAACCTCAAGAAGTAGGGAGGGAGGCACCACATGACTTATGCTGAAATAAGGAAGGAAGGGGAAATGTGCAATGGAGTTAGGAGTTCCAGTGAGAGACTTAGGGAAGGAAGAGAAGTGAGCAGACACAAACACTGACAGCCACTAGGAGTTAAAATCTCCTAGGCAGCAGTAAGCTGGAAGAAAGGACAGAAGTGCCTCTGGCCATAATGGGGATTTTACTGGACCTGCTGCTTCTGAGCCACCTAGCAGTGATCACCTGTGGTAAGACAGCAAATGAGAACCTGGCTGCCTTTGATGGCTTAGGCAAAAGAGTATAAGGCTGATGTTGGATGCCTACTGGTGAGAAAGGACAGTCTTTGTTGTGCAGATGAGTGTTCACAGCTAATGCTGCAGGCTTTCTCCGCTTTGGACAGAATGGAGGGTGGTAGTTGAAGGTTTCTGGGAAAGCCAAGGTGCAAATTTGGGCAGTAATGGAAAAGTGTACACTCTCGGAAAACATCTGCATGATTTTCTAGTGCTTGTATCTTGGAGACATCAAAAAAGACTCCTAATTATACCCAAATCCTCCTGCTACATCTGCTGTCTTTCATTTGAAATTCTACCATTAGACCTAATCTAGACCCTTTCAGGCTTTGGTCCCTGTTATGATATATAGTTCCTAAAGAAGGAATGTTGTCTAAGAGGTAGATATGATCTTAGAAGTAACCTGTACCGTCATTCGTTGTTAGGAACAAGTATTCAGCATTGTTTGTTCACACACTTCCAATTACTGGGAGTTTACTACTTTCCCAGACCATCTAGTCTACAGGAGCAGTTCTAAATGTTACTTGTGTTAAACTAAATGCACCTTTCTGTGGCTTCCATCCAAAGGCCCCAGCTCTGTTTCTTGGAGTCTCATAGAATATATCTGCTCCTCTTTCTCTGTGACAGCTCTTCAAAGGTCTGAAGAAATGTACTTTGTCCCTTTAACTTTTCTCTTCTCCAAACTAAATACTCCAGCTCTTTCAATTGGTTCTTATAAGCCTTGATTTCTTCCCTCTTCTTGGGCTAACACACAGTGAATATGGCCCAGATTAGGCTATTTATGGGATGCTAATGCTAAACACATATTGCAACTTTCTCATTGTGGCATCATTTCTGTGGGTCTTCTTCTATGCTTATTTACATTCCTCAGAAGTAGAATAACTTTTCAGGAAGCTATACTTGGGGAATAGCTAAATAAGACTCAAGAGAGGGTAAAAGGGTAATTGCTGAACCCCTGCTTGTTTCATTTCCCTAGAGAGAGAGGCTAAATGGGTGTTAGTTGGATGTTATTTGTGGGATCAGCAACCAAGCTTCCCATAACTGACTCAGCTTAAGTTACCAAAACCTTGGGTCCTGTCAACCTCTAGGACCTCAAAAATTTAGAAAATAACCTAAATTAAATAAGCCAAGAGGGAAGAGTCTGTCCCAGGCCTCAGAACATTAATGTCAAAGTTAATGCTTGTAAAAAGCAATATTCTTTCTACAACTACAATTTTTTTTATTCTCCAGCACAATTTAGAATGTAACCTTTTATGTTCTCCAAACATGCCAGTTTGAATTGGAATTTATTGAGTCAGGGACTTGGGGGGAACATTATATAAATGTTAAATTTAAGCTGTGTGTATGTGTGTTTGTTTATGCATGACAGGAAAGAGAAAAGAGATGAGAAGTCTCATATGTCTTGTTTCTTTTCCAGTCTATGAGTTTTTCTAGCCCTTGATGCAGGTATATCCTTGGTGTGTGAGGTTTTACACTATAGAACTTAGGCTCAGGATATACTGAATATCTTATAATGCTTTCCCCCTCCCTGGACCAGCCCGTCTGTACAATAAGAAAGTTGAATTGGCTGGCATTCAAGAGGGCTGCCAGCTGGACAGCTCTGGGAGACTGGGGCTTCACAGCTAAAAAGATCCTACAGGCCAGAATCAGCTATCCATTTATTCCTGTGAATTAAAAAGCATGTTGAAATAATTATAATAACAAGAAATCCTAACATTTACACTTTATAAACATTTGGAACATTTTATAAACATTTTATAAGTATCTTATTGAATCTAATCTTTTGTCCATGAGGTAACTAGTAATAGCTAAATCTTGGAAACAACCCAAATACCCATCAACCGAGGAATTGATAAAGAACTTACGGTCTTTTTAAACAATGGATTACTAACTACTCAGGCATTAAAGAAGAATAAACTGGAGACTTTTATAGGTAAATGGATGCAACTTGAGGCCATACGCATAAGTAAAATAAATCAGAATCACATATGTAGTCATCACACTGTCTCCATGGTGTCAGAAACTGAAAGAGTACATAAATAAGGACCAAAATATACAATAGATATTTTGAAATGGGAAAAAATTATTCAAAAGGAAAGAGGAACTAAAGTGGAGAAAAAGAGAAAGGAAGGAAGAGAAAACGGAAAAAAGTACAAGATAGTTATACTACTAGTGTCTCTTAGTTCACTGAAAATAAAGGTTTGCGTGAATATTGTCTGGAGAATTTTTTATATTCATATCTTGTACTCTGAGCAACTACTTTAAAGATAGCTATGCACAATGTATTAACTATCATTATTCTCCTATTATTTTGTTATGAATTTTTTCCACAAACAAAGTGGTACACAAAATGTGAAATCCCACTCTCTCTGATAATGGAATAAGATTCACAAAGGGACCCAGAATGGGTCTTAAAAAGGGTCTCACACCCAATATATTAGGCCTTTCTTTTCTTCAGGACCATTACACAGCATCCAGATCTTTGCTTATCTAAATCCAGGTCCTGAGACCAGAGCACTATCCCTTCTTTCTTGAGCCAGACCTTCTTTCAACAAACTCTCTGAGTCAGTGTTTAGCTCTGGTATTTTTCCTGAGAGAGACAAATATTTTAAAATGCATTTTTTACCTGAGGATAGGAGAGCAAGATCCTAGGAAAGCCTTTTCAGGAAGCAGCTGGAAAATGAGGGCATTTTTCCCCCAGGCAGTCAAAAACAAAATATCTACCACTAAGATGACATCCTTGAAACCATGTCACATAGGTGCAGGTAAGATGTTGCTGGTATCAGTTATGGCTGGTTATTTAGTAGGTTAAGAAAGAAAGAAAGCACTGTATTATCTGAAAACTTGTATTTTAGACCGTACATTGTGTGACTTTGGATAAGAATATCTCTCTCTGGACCTTAGCTTGCCCATATACAGTGGTACCTGTATAAGCTCAGTTCATGAGCTTAACATTTTTTACAGTTTTAGAAAAGATTGCCATATTTGTGTTTGTGTGGGAAAGACTGCCTCAGTTGCGTTTGTCACCCAACGCAGAGATTTCAAACAAAACCAAAATTTGGTCAAACACTTCTATTTGTGAAACAAATTGTTTTCAGACAAAAGAGCTCATGAACGGAGGTACCACTGTATATCCATGAAGAAATGTGACTATTTCTAAAAGCTCGTCCAGCTACGCAATTCCAGAAGTCTCAAAATTTCATTCTACCTGTTACCTTGATCCCTTTTTTATCAAATGGCTCACGATTTGGTGTTTTTGATATATCCCTAATGGATAGAGCATTTCCCCAGGAGGTGGAACTTTTCTGAAGTGGGTTGTTCTTACCCAATCTTCCAGAAAATTCGGGAGTATTGCTCTCATTTGGCCAACATTTCACAAGCACTGCCAAGCCAGTCTTGTCATTAAAGGCACATTATGCTGTCTTCCCTGGTTGCCCTACAACCCATAGATGGCCTAGTACCTGCCCAAAGCTCAGTAGAATCTATAAGACGGGGGACAGTGCCTCCTTACTTGTCATGTGAGTAACTTCTGCTTTAAGTTCCTATGAAAGCTAACAATGGTCCGATCAAATGAATATACATATTTACCCAGGGTAAGACATACTGAGGACTTCTATAGGACAAGAAGAATCAAGACAGATATAAGAGGTTTTATTTGAGGCATGAGAGAAGCTACCAACATTTATACAGCACCTATTGAATGTCAGATCTAATATGTGTTTTCACATTTACAAGTTCACTTTTATTTGTAACACTGATCCTCCATGGAATAGTTTTATTGCTTTCATTTTATCAATGATGACATAAAATTCAGACAGGCTTAGTAATTTGCACAAATGACAGAGGTATATGAGCTAAGGCAGACCTTGGATCCAGATGGTGTTATTCTTATACATTATGCAGACTTTGACTACTTTTCTAATCTCACTGGACTCTCCTACTGGGAGCCTAGGTTTTCCTGGTTTCTCTTGGCATTGCAGGGATAGTTGAAAGGTACAAGTCAATGCTATCATGATTACTTTCACTTTGAAGTTCTGGAACCAGGAAAAGTAGTAAAATGTTTTCTTTCTTGGGGTGCTCTGTGTTACTGTCCACTCTCTTTCTACGCTACTAATAAAGCAAGATTAGAAGAGGAGAGAAGAACACAATGAAGGGAAGAGGCAAAAGGGAAATGGTCAAAGTGAAATAATGGCTAGAAAGAGGAAAAAGTAAAGGAAGGAGAGAGGAAGAAAAAGGTAAACACAGGAAAATACATATCTTTATGAAAAGTCTAGCCATCAACTCTGGAATATACTCCCATTCTGAGATAGAGGAGTCAGCCCTGACCTACTTTCAGAAATTAATTTCACAATTGTGAATTTACCATTGGATTGCCATGTTCTTGACAGACCAAAGTGAGCTATGTGAAAGTCTCCATCAAGTTACCACAGATGGGAACACAGCCAGGACTTGCGGCTCCCCAAATGTCAGAGGGGAAACATGAATATGCATGGATAAAGACATTTTCAGCAACTGCAGATATCCTCAGAGCAGAATATTGCTCTGTTGCCCAGAAAGAAAATATGAGAGTGCTTTTAAGTGGACAGAAGGAAAATTAGGGAGGGCCAGAGGAGGACTAATTAGGAAGAGCCCATTAAATTGAGAGAACAAAATGCTTTTCAGGGAACTAAGGATGGGATGTTTTTGTTTTCATAGGGCTAAAGATATGCCCATGATGATGTTAAACTGTAACTACATGCATATGGAAACAAGGACTATCAATTACATAGTGAAACCCACCTGGTGAAAGTTAATTCGCAGCTAGAGTATATAATTATTTAACTTCTGTTTCCATTACAGTCCATTAGACCTGGATACCTAGAGTTGAAAGGACCCTTAAGAATAACGCTGCCCAAGACCTAAGCAGAGTTTAAAACTTTCTACAGACAGCATAATACATCCACAAAAAATTCTGATTATAAATTTCATTTTTAGGAAACAATAAAATTACTCCCCTTATGTTCCCTTTTGTGGGTTTATGTTCCACTCCCTGCCATATCTGAACTCTCCACAGAGTGTGTGGTGGATCTTGCAGCATGATGGGTTTTTTTTTATTCTTTTCTACTCAAGGCCTTTATCTTGGGTAAAATATTTCATTGATATTTTACCAGTACCTTGTGGGGCCACAGGCCAAAGTTTCCACTTTAATATATCTATTAATGGAAGACTGATGCTTGATGATACATTTTGGGAGCTAGAAAGCATAGGCTCCTCCCATTCAAAAGGTGTCATCTTCTATCTGCATAATCAAAACATGGGAAGACTGGGCTAAATAAAAGGATTTTATTCAGTAATAGCTCACACTTTAAAACCACTTCTCCTAGGAGGAACATAAAAACATTGTCAAATACAGCCCCATACTCCTGGCCCCAGACGAAGAGAATACAAAACCTTCAAAACATGACATTTGTGGATTGAAAATTCTGGTAGGGATCAATGGGTGTTTCAATGTATCCATCCTTTTCCTTCCAGGTTTCCCTATTGAGTTCATCAAGCAGCAATTTCACTTTCCTCCTATCACCATCCCTAGTACAGCTAGCTCCAGGATTTTACCCATAGCTTTTTCTTGTTCATACCAAACATGGATGTGTTTTCAGCTTTCTTGTAACTGAGATTCAGCACCTGCAATTTAAAGGAAGAGAGGTTTAGTTTGGCTCATGGTTTGGGGGAATGCAGTACATGTCAGGCTGGAGTTAAGGCAGAAAGAATGTGGTGGAAAGGCATAGCAGAGTAAACTGCATGGAAGCAAAGCAGGAGAATAGTGTCAGAGTGCAAAGAGTTAGGAACCAGGCATAGACAATGAGGGCATGCCTCCATGACTCATCCAGACATTCCTAGAAGAGTGGTCCCCAGGATGGATCATGAAGCCAATCAAGATGAAAGTCCACCCTAACCACAACAGGAAAAAAAAAAAAAACTTTTCCCTCTCAGGATGAAATTTCCCAATGTATCTTTAATTAAAACTAAGAGAAGCTAAAAGAGGAATAAAGACAAAGAAATCAGAGAATAAATCAATCTGGCTTACAAAGTCCAGGTTTCAAATTTTAAAATAACTAATGATTTTGTTAAGCAGGAATGCATACCCAGGCCTGTCTTTGCACCAAATTTCACCATGATAATTGCCTATTGTCTGCCTCCTCCCACCCTTGCAGAAAAGAGCTTAAAAGCAAGAAAGGATAATAAGGCACAAGACCCATTCTTGCCAAGCCCCAAATCCCCCATATTTTTTTCCAGGCATACATTTACACAAAACTGAAATAGTCCAGACATAACTGCTCATGATTTTTGTTCTCACCTCTTTCATAAAAGAAAATTTTTATGGACATTCAGAATGCCAAAGTTGGTAAAATGCTCAAATATCACTCTATTTAAAGTTTCCTCATTATAGATAAATAAAATTGATCCTAAATGGTGGGAATGACTTACCTAAGATCACTTCATAGCAAGACAGTGACATGAAATGAACTTGAAACTCACAAGAGCTAAAAAATGTGAAGATCTTTCCTTCTAAAAACTAGTTCTGTTTGATAAGAAGGTTGACAGAGAGCAAAAGTGCACAGGAAAAACAGAAGTGTGATGGAAGGAAAGCTGAGGAGTATTTCTCAGAAATTGCTTGAGGCCTGACACTACCACTGGAGCTCCCAAGTGTATATGTCTTCTGTGTTTGTTTCCTTCCTCTGTTCCCTCTCTTCAGGCCACCCCATCCTGGAAGCACCAGAGAACATAACAGGACCCTGGAAAGGGGATGTGAATATTCCTTGTACCTATGGTCCCCTAAAAGGTTATACCCAAGTCATGGTGAGGTGGTTGGTACAACGTGATTCAGAACCAGTCACCATCTTCCAACGTGACTCCTCTGGAGACCATATCCAGCAAGCGAAATACCGAGGTCGCCTGCATCTGAGCCAGAATATTCCAGGGGTTGTATCTCTCCAACTGAATACCTTGGAGATGGATGACAGAAGCCACTACACCTGTGAAGTCACCTGGCAGACCCCTGATAGCAAACAAGTGATGAGAGACAAGATCATTGAGCTCCGTGTCCAGAAACGTGAGTCACTGTGGGAACAGGAAAGCATTGATAGGCAAAGACTCAGTAGAGTACTATAATCCTAGAAACTTCCAAGTAATGAAGAGGCCTCGGTTTACCTGTACAATAGTCTTTTTCCTAGTATATGTGCTAATCAGAGGAAGTGTACAGGCGGAACAGCCTCAGGGTCATCACTCCTATGGTAGGTATGGTAGAATTGTTGGGAAGGGTTTCTGGCTTGCAAATCTACTTCTTCAAGTATTCTAGAATTTTTGGCATTCATATTATGTTGCCCTTCTTAGGCTCTGGGCCTTAAAACTTATAAAAATGAGTAATTCTGATAAAGATCCTGGAGGCTAGACAGATGCTGACAGAAATGCTGTGGAAAAAGAGAGGCAGGAGGTTAGCCAAGATAAGTTTTGCTGGGTTAACAATTTATAAATCTCTGGCCTTGATAATCTGAAAATGCAAATAATAGAGAAAATTAGAGCCTAAAAATGACATTTTCTTAAGTCACTTAATTTTTAAGTCCAGATAATCCCAAACACAATAATACCAAATAGTACCCAGTCCTCCAAGAAAGGTATTTTTGGACTGAACTTTTAGCTCACTTACAGAGCACTTGCCTAGAATGTATGAGGCCCTGGATTCTATGCTCAGCTATGCAACAGAAATGTGATGCAAAGGAAGGTATTTTTATTTGCTATTCCCTTCTTCTCTCCCAGTTCAGCAGTCACCTCTCATTCCAGCTGCAGATACATGCACGCCCTTCTGCTCAACCAGGATAACTTGGCCTGTGTCCCATAACTTTATGATTTCTCAAAGCCTCCTCTCTTTTCTTCCCTTTGCAGTCCCTGTCTCAAAGCCCACAGTGACCACTGGCAGTGGTTATGGTTTCACTGTGCCCCAGGGAATGAGAATTAGCCTTCAATGCCAGGCTTGGGGTTCTCCCCCCATCAGTTATGCCTGGTACAAGGAACAAACTAATGACCAGGAACCCATTAAAGTAGCAGCCTTGAGTACTTTACTCTTCAAGCCTGCAGTGGTGGCCAACTCAGGCTCCTATTTTTGTACTGCCAAGGGCCGTGTTGGCGCTGAACAACGGAGCAACGCTGTAAAGTTTGTAGTCAAAGGTAAGCAATCTTCCCTGCAGGTAAGCATCTTAGAACAAAGATAACCTCCTTCATGCCAGAGAATGGTTGGAGAAGTGCAGTCCTGGGTAGGCAATAATTACATAAACACACACACACACGCATGCACACACACACACACACACACACACACACAATTCAGAATAAGGGATAGCAGGGTTTGAGACAATACCTGTCATATAAGGATGATAGTATGACATTTATTAGGTACCTCATATTTGCCAGATACAAAATTCAAGAACTCAACAAATTTTCTCAATGAATCCTTACAAATATGCAATGAAATGGTTAGCATTACTCTTATCTTTTAAATTTTTTTATTTTAAAGAGAAAAGCAATAACAAAATAGCAACAACATAGACAGAATAAAACAACACAGAAACAAGAAAAACGATACAGGGTTTCAAAGCAAAGTGATAGGAATTAACAGTGGTTGTTATAGTCCGTAGTGTTATCTTCAACGAAGTTGCTCAGATTACCAGATGAAAGAATGCAAGATTGGGGGGCTGGGGATTTAGCTCAGAGGCACAGTGCCTGCCTGGCAAGCTCGAAGTCGTGAGTTCAATTCCCAGTACCGGAAGAAAACCAAAAAAAAAGAATGCAAGATTGATCAAACCATTATAGAGAATAAATAATAATCATCATAATACATTAGAAATTATACAGAGCTTCACTAAACAAGATGGTAGTAATTCACCAATGGTTATTATATTGCATATTGTTGCCTTCAAATTAGTTGCTCAGATTGCCAGAGATAAGCAAGCATAATTGGTCAAAAAATTTTTAAGCATTCACTGTTCCTTTCAATAAACCAGTAGACATCAGCAGTACAATTATCGCAGCTATCCACATATATATTTTCCCCTTCCTTCTTTCTTTTTCTCCTTTCCTTCATCCCAGTTGTTCCTTCCCTTGGAGCAATTTCTTTCCCTTTCACACATTACTCTAATTTTATGTAAAGAAAACTTAAAGAGCAATCTATTTGGTCATGGACTCACAGCAAGGAAGTGTAAATCCAGATTTGCACTCGGATTTTGCTCTTTATAGAGTCTGATTGTTTCTCATGGTTGAATCTTCCTGGATACCCTTTGAAAGCTGTTTTTTTGTTTGTTTGTTTTTTCTTTTCTTTTTGTTATTTTGTTTCTTTGATTGGGCTTTTTTATAAGGAAAGCCAAAACCTCTACATATTTTCTTTCATTTACCTTGTCTCCCTATAAAGTCTCATGCTGGGGAGGTTATATGGACAGCAATTGATCTCTCCAAGCATCACCATTCTGGTCAAGCCGCCAGGACACTGATACTTCAACACGTACATACAGCATGCAGTGCTCAAAATACAACCTCCCTCACCCACCTTCACCCCCATGCACCATTTCCAATCTCTATTAACTATTATTCTATATTCAGATTCATCAGAAAGCCAAAGAATGTGAATTTCATAAAGAGACAAATTGAACGTTCTTGTCTTCTCTGAGTTATTTAGGATTTACTAAGTATCAATTTTGCATCACTAGATTATACAATCCAAGAGTACAACATCTGCCTACTTTATGGATACCCCCCCACAGTCCATCAAAGTACTTGGTACATAAAGGACATTAAATGAGTGTTTGTTAATACATGGACAAAATATATTTCTACCTCACCTTCAAAAATCTCCCAAACTGTTGTCAAAATTATTTTCCTAAAACTTCAACTGAAAAATTCTCTCTCCCTGCCTTAAAAACATTCTGTTACTCCCTGTGGAACCTTCCATCCAAAGAAGAAAGCCCAAAGTCTTCTAGTTTGTCCTCACCCTTCCTCTCCAGCCTTATCTTCTGATACATGTCTCCACATCTCAAACATAGCATACTGTTATGTCTGACTGCAATGTCCTTCCAACCCTCTTGGTCTAAAGAAATTCTATTGGCCTTTCACTCATATTTTCATTTTGCATTAAAATATACTTCACATGCAAAATATTGAATATTTTTAGATATACACTTCATTGGTTCACATGGTTGTGCATGGTTGTCCACTATCTAATTCCAGAACATTTCATTTGCCCTGAAACAGCCATCAAGCAGTCATTTCCATTCCCCTATTTCCCTAAACCCCAGAAAACACATATCAGCTTTCCTTTTCTGTAGATTTCCTATTCTACACAGTTCACATAAATTGAATCATAAAATGTAATGCTCTGTACTCATTTTTGTCAGTTAGTATAATATTTTCAAAGTTCATTCAGGCTGCAACATGTATCAATAATTCATTGTCTTTATTACTGAAAAACAGAGCATTACATGGATGTGCCACATGTTAGTTATCCATTTTTCAGTCGATGAGCACTTGGGTGTAGCTACATTTTGGCCTTATGTGAATAAACAGGGCCAGGGATTTAGGGTGCCTGGCAAGTGTGAGGTCCTAAGTTCAATTACTAGTACAAAAAGCAAAACAAAACAAAACAAAACAAAACAAACAAACAAAAAACCACAAAATGAATGCACAAACACTACATGGTGTCCTATGTGTCTCTAAGATTTTGTTCATATTTTATTCATTTTCCTCTCTATTCCACAAACAATAATTACATCTTCAACCTTACTGATGCTTTATTCTGCCAGCTAAAATCTGCTACTAGATTTTTTTCCATCTAAAGAAGTTTTCTTTTCAGTTATTGTGCTTTACAACTCCAAGATTTTGACTTGGTTCCTTTTTATAATAAGAGTTTCTTTATTGATATTTTCTATTTTATTTGAATCATTATGCCTTTTTGTTATTTAGGTACATTTTCCTTCAATTTTAACACATATAAATTGTTTCATCTATTAAATCCAATATCACTGTTTCCTCAAGGATAATTTCTACTTATTGAATTTACCTTTACCTGTCAATAGGGTATATTTTATAGTTTCTTTTCATGTCTTATATTTCTTGTAGTTGAAAACTAGACTTTAGAATAATACAATGAGATAAACTTGGAAATCTTATTCTTTCTCTCCCCAGGGTTTGTTGTTGACTCTGCTTGCTGTAACAGTTTTTTGTTTTACCTTGTTTGGTTCAGAGAATTTCTGAGTTAATTCTGCATAGTCTTTCATATTATTTGCCATGGATGGCCACTGAAATCTTTTCTTGGTTAATTTAGTGGCCAGCTAGTGATTAAAGCAATATTTTCTTAAATATCTGTAATCAATAAATCTCCTAGTTTTTAGCAAATAACTCTCTTGCCTGTTGTACCATATTTTTGACACTCAGCCAAGCAGTTTATAACTATGTCATAATCTTTACTTTCTATCTATAAGACTAACAAGGAGTAGTAACTTACAAGCTTTTCATGTAATTCATAAGAAAACACAGCTCTGTGCATGTATGTGGCCTTCTAGATTCCCATGAATGTATCACAGCTTTTTAAATTCCCCATGGACAGGGCCAGGGATATAGTTCAGTGGAACAAGTGCCTGCCTGGCAAGTGCAAGGTCCTGAGTTTGATTCCCATGATTCCTGGTACCAAAAGACAAAAAATTCCCTATGGGCATCTCATTCTTCAGTTTTTCATTTTAAGATTTTTGGTTAGTTTCTTTTTTCTCGAAATTGCTACCCATTTCCTCAGGCATCTATATGACAAATATTCTCCCATCCTCAAAGAGAGGCTTTCAGAACTGAGTGACCAATAAAACAGCCTTTTGAGCCACATCTTCCAGGGAACCACCAAATAGGTCAAATAATGGCAATTGTTTGGGAATAAGGTATATTCTGCTCACTCCAAGAACTGGAATGAGGTTTTATTTTACAATTACATCTGAGCTGGGAAGGAATAATAGAACCAAAGTTAAATGCTATAAAACTAAGTTAAAATGCCACAAAGCTTACTGTTTTTACCAACAATGGGTTCTTTTCTTCCTTAAATCCTCCTTGTTACAAATCTTTGGATAATTTCAAAACCTCTGGGAGAAGATGAACAATATCAATTTTCTGTTATTTTATTGCTTTTATGAAGCGGTAAATTTTTGGAGATAATTACTGCACCATTATCAATGACGTTACGCATTACCACCTTCTTTGTGAGACTTCCAAAGTCCCTCTCAATAGACTGAACACTAAATTTCATTTAAAAGTTAGTCATAAAGTATATTTTCTCATGCAAGTTTACAGATTCTTTGAGTCCTAGCCACAGACTCCTTGGAGTTCTGTGAACCTTGACTTAAGAACACTACCTTAGATTGGTATTTGAAGAATAATCAGGCAATACAAGACTAATCAGTGTCATGAGGCAAGTGTTAAGAGGTTCAGTGATGGGCCTGACTGGCCTTTACCAGGTCCTTCCTCTCTTTCTAGGACATTCAGCTGTTTACTCAAGGTCTTTAATTTGGCTCCCTTTCTCTTGCACTTTCCTTAGAGCCGCTTGACATGAAGAATGAAGCACCTACAATCACAAAATCCCCATTGGAAGGTGAGTTTTACTGGGATTCTACGGGAGTAAGAAGGATTTGAAATGATATCATCGTAACCAATGCAAAAGCCCCAATATCATTAAACAATGAGTAAATGGTCACTGGGCTACTCAGAGAAAACAGTGTAGTGAATGAATGGAAACCAAAGGGATAAGTGAAGAAGTAGAATCATGAAAACAAGCACTCTTCTTTGGGGAAGCTTCTGAAGCAAGAGTACACTATGACTTATGTTTTGCTCCTTGCCTGATTTTCTGTGCAACTGGATATATTACCTCCTGTCTATGAACTTTCTTTCCACTAAGAATCCCTAAAAGTAAGAAATTACAATGCCTCACCACATAATGTTGTGGTCAATGATATGCCCAGGTGCTCCTGAGGGGCAGGCACAGATTCCCACAAAAACTCCCAACATTTGCAGCCATCCTCTACCTTATAGCTCCTGTCTGGAAGAAAGACTTCTGACTCTGATTTCCTGTTACTATAGCAACATCTACAGTAAACCAATCCTGGGACCAAACTTCTAAAGCGGATGTCTACTTTGGGGAAACCATCAGTGAGCCAGGAAAAGGCAAGTTCATGACTTACATCCTTTCTTCTTACTCCAGTTTTGTGCCCAGTACTTATAACTACATACATTCTTCTGTGGCATTCAACTTTGCAAATCATCAAGGCGGGGAGGAAGGGAGAGAGGGAGAGAGGGATTTAGGAATAAACAAAGACAGAGTGAAATTCAAGGGAATAGTGTGTGTATTCTCCTGCTGCTCCTTAGGCCATAATAATATATTTCTCAAACAAGAATAGGGTAGGACCCTGACCTACACCAGCTCTCTCATGCACATAGGTATGGGATCAGGTAAAGATAACAGCAGTACTTCACTACCTGAGCTTCTTAAGTAACTTTCAGCCAATATTTTATTCCTCCAAAGTCTCAATGATTCCCAATTCAGAGTCACAGAAATGAAATTCCCACCTTGAACTGAGTCAGCTGGTTTTTACTGAGTGTCTTGGCTACTTTTCTCTCGTTGCTGAGACAAAATGCCTAATGCCCAAAATTAAGGAAGGAAAGGTTGATTTAGTTCACAGTTTGTGGAGGTTTCAGTCTATAATCAGCTGGCTCCAAGGCAGGGTGGCAGGGCACAGGGGCAACACTTCAAGGTTGCACAAGACAGCAAAAGCGGCAAGACCAAAATGGGGAAGAGGAGCAAGCCTCTTTCCCTCCCTTCTATTGTAAGCAGGCTCCCCCCACCCTAGGGCATGTAGCACTCACATCATCCCCACGCCCTCCTTCTGCACAGGCTCAGGATGATACAAAGTAAGGATCCACACCCTGCTCAGTCACTTAATTAACCTTCTAACCTTCTCAAGTTGACAAAATGCAGAGCATCACAGAGCGGTAAGGGAGTGTCCTTTTCACCCCAGGATGCAGAACTGCTGACTCACTTAGCCAAGTCGCCAGACTCCTCACGGTGACACAGTGTGTCAACCATACCACTGAGATAATTCCACTGATTGTAAAATAATGAACTACTTTCACACTCATTCATAATTAGCTGCTTCCCTTAAACTATTGAGATTTGGTTTCATAAGATGAGAAAATAACTCTAGGAGGTGTATAAGTTCTCAGGTATTGGATCAGTGCCTTACCTCCTCTGTCAAGTTTTTCATAACTTCACTCTCATGATGGAAGAATCTTTCTTTGGTCTGCACTATCCTATGTTTTTCACTCTCTCAGTTACAACTAGGAGCTCAGAGAACTACATATTCCTGAGGCAGAATATCATAGAGTCTAGGAAAAACAAAGACAGTTTCACCAGAAAATCTGAAGGACATTAGAATTCCTTTCCCTACCCTTCTTTATTCCCTCACTAATCTCCCATATTCAAAATATTATAGGTAAAAGAGATTAGATATGTTCCAAATGTCTCATTGAATTTAGGGGGAAGCTATGACCCAGTGACAGTCAGGGATTTAACTAATGTTATTATATTCACTTTTCTGTGACTTCTGTAAAAACTAAGCCAAAACCTAGCACCTTAAAACAATATAGATGTATTACAATTATCTTCTGGATCTCAGAAGTCTGACACAGTTATTACTGAGCTACAATCAAGATGCCTGTAGGGCCGGATTGCTTCTGGAAGTTTTGAGGAAAAATCCATTTCCTTATCCTTTCCACTTTCTAGAAGCTTCTCACATTCCTTGGCTCTTGGCTCCTTTCCTTCATTTCCAACAGTGTAACATCCTCAAATCTCCCTCTAACTCTGACAGCTTCTTACGTCTCTTCACTTCACTTTTATATAGAAAGCACTTCCCAGTCCTCGTCACAGCCCAGGAAGTTTGTATTTGTAATCCTATGAAAAGTTATTGGAATCCTAGTGGGTTAATTCCAATCCATCACTTTGAGTGCAACCCATGGTTAGAATAAAGACACTAAGGCATATTTATACTTATGGGGAGCCAAGGGGGTCCTAAGTGCAGCCATGATGATGGCCACTTGGAACAAAGGCCTCGACCCAAGGCTGAACCCAGGTTTTATTCATTCATGAAGAAGGGAGTGGCTCGAGGATGAGTGACTGAGAACCATGGAAAGTAGGTGAGTTCCATGAGCTGGGCTAGGTAGAAGGCCCGAAATCACTTCTGCCATATGTGGAGAGGAGGATATGCAGAAAGAGTAATCTGCATAATACAATTGAGATAGTATCTAATGTTTTGAGGTCAGTACTTCAGCTCTGATGTGTAATGTTTGAAGCCCCAGGAAGTCATAGCCTCCATCTCAAGGCTCAATCCTAGCAGACAGTATGGAGCGTTGGCTCACACATCTCGCCTCATCCCAGGTCATTCGAGGCAGCAGCAGGCGGTGTGGGGAAACACGCCTGCCATCTCTAAAGATTACCATCAGCACCTCAGCTAGATTGATATGCATTGCTTAAAGCCAACTGAAGGGATAAGGGAAGGGTCCTAACCAGCTCTATACACATCAGTACATGGAAATAGGGTCAGGCTCAGCAAACATGGAGGCAATTGCTCCTCTTTTAAGGAGAGTCGCCTAGGTGGTCCTCTACATTTTAAAGTTTCTTTTCAGTACCTTGATCCCACCTGTATAATTTAGGATCCTTTCCTCATCTCAACATCAGTTAATTATCTATCTTATTTCCATCTATAACCTTAATTCCTCTTTATAATATGAAGGAAAAATCAGGCGTGGTGGCACACACTCTTGTAATCCCAGCACTCGGCAGGCTGAGGCAGGAGGATCCTTGTGAGTTCGAGGCCAGTCTGGGCTACAAAGTGAGCTCAAGGCCATCCTGAACTGCATAGCGAGACCCTGTCTTAAAAGAAGTAATAATATGAAGGAAAGCACTCACAAGTTTTAGGAGTTTTTGTTGTGAGCATCTTTGAAGGAACAGTATTCTGCTTGTCACTGTCACACAACAAAGAAATAACAGATCCAGAACTAGAAGCCCAGCATAGGGGATTCCTTCGGCTTCTAGGAATGATGGAGATGTGTACTGCAGAAGACTCAGTAGAAATACATTTTGAGAAAGAAAGAAACTGGGAATTTAGCCAAAGATTATTATGAGGAAAAGGATTTGGCTACCAAATCTCAACACGGTAACACTTTGGTGAAGCTGGGAAGTGAAAATATTACTTTTTTCTTTCTAAAGGGAAGGTGAAAACCTTGTGACTTGGCCCCATGTAAAATGTGGAGCTCTGGCTCAAACGTACAAGCTAATCAGCTGTCAAATAGCAGGTCTGGAAGAATTTGTTTAAAAGTGCTGTCTCTGGCTATTCTCAAGACTTTCTCATGGACCTGGAGTTTAGTTTATCTCTCTGACTAGCTAAAAAGATTAGGAGAAGATAGCAAAATGGAAAAGAAAGAAGTTTTAGCTTGTCTGGGATGCTTCTTAGAGTTTCTGTTTCTCATCTTATTTTCAATCCCATAATATTTGGCCTTTTTTGCCTCCTAGCAAGGGGCTTGCCTATGTTTGCCATCATCCTCATCACCTCCTTGTGCTGTATAGTTGTCCTCACCATGGCTTATGTCATGCTCTGCCGGAAGACAACTCAACAGGGTAAGTGATAAGTGTGGTTGGTTGGCTTTTCCTCATGCATTATTTCTGGCAATATATTTGAGCCTATATTCTGCAAAGTCCCAAGCTAGTCCTGGAGGGAGGGCAGAGGTGGAGAGGGGCAGATGTCTATGCCAACATGATTTCAGACTTATATAAATAGATGCAAAAAATCTTTGGTACCCAGTTAAGTACATCCATCCTTATAATATGTTACCTAATGAGGCTACAGACATTTCCCTTAGGTTGCTTACAATTTATGTGGGGGATACAAGGTTGCAGAATGGGGCTTATCAGTAATAATGCATAACAGTAAAGATTATGGAGTCAAAACTTGGAGAAGATAATCAACATTAAAGGGGTCCTGGAGAGAAGAAAGTCATTTAGGGCTGATATAACTAGAAAGGGCTTTCAGGAGGTGAAACTTAAACAAAGTCTTGAAAGATGAAAACAGTGTAAGGGGATAGTGTTCCAAAATGAGGAACTACATGAGTTAAAGGATAAGGCCCTAAAAAGACAACTGAATTTGAGATCATGAATAAAGAAAATGCGTGGAAATGAGCAGTAGGAAATACAGCTAGGAAAGGAAGTTTATTCTAATTACATAAGGCTTTTGATACCAAGCTGAAAAATTTAGATTTTTTTTTCACCAGGACTTACGAAAGGACTAAAAGTAACCCAATTTTTTGAGCATAGTAAATGACACGATGAAAACACAGGTGTCTGAGTCCTTTAACAAGGGCCAACAAAGGAGGAAAAAGAAAATTAGGATGTTTATTTCTAAGAAAAGCCTAGCTATAATTCAATGTCCACTGCAGTAGTCATTTTATCTATCATTAGCTTCTCTCTTTGTCTATAGCATCTCCTACTCACAAATACTTTGTTTTCCTCTATCAGTCTCTCTAGTCTAGGAAAAGGGAGCTTCAAATGTCTCCATCTCTTGAGCATCAAGTATAAATTCTAGCCTTGACCGGTTAACATGGTTATGACCCATGAGCATAAACTTGAAATTGGCCATAAAACTCCTGAATACTAAAAGGAAAGCATTTATTATAGTCTTGGTGTGGGCATAAACAGTAATCGTATTATATTGTTTGTCTTGAAAATTGTCCAAGTCTCCTCAAGACCCAGAAGATAAAGGTCAAAATGTAACATTCTATTCAAAACACTCTGTAATGAGGCTCTAATCCTTATCATTCTCTTTTGCCTATTCTTATTTCTGGTCACTAAAGTCAAATAAGCAAGTATGCCTCACACATAATACTTTTATGCTATTTTTTTTTAACCTCAGTTTGTCTTTCCAGAAGTCCTGTTTTCTATATCTATATAAGGGAGATAGTGCTAATGGTGCCATTTCAATTTATGCTATAGTTACTGAATAACAATTGTGTGTCAAATTCTGGGCATATAACAATGAAAAAACAATCCTTGTAGTACAGGAGCTCCAAGACCAATTGAGCATGCAGCACATGAAAATGCAGGGCTCTTCTATAAGACAGAAGGCCTGAGGCTTGTCCTGTTTACAATTTTGTCATTTAATGTATGCATTTCCAGTTGCTTTCTTGAAAGATTCTAAGTACCTAGAGGGCAGTGCTACTAGATATGCTAATATCTGCCAAGCAAAACCCTTGAGCCTGTATGGACAATTATCCTCCACAGACACTAGGGGGCAGTAGTGACCAGGGTCTTTTTCTTCCATATAGGGTAGCGACTCAGTGCACTTGGGAGTGGCTTGGGCCAGGGTTCCTGACATCAGGCTAATTCAACCCCTCCTGGACTCTGGTCTGGGAGTCAAGTTTCTCACTAGGACTTTCTGAGGATCTTTGGTGAGATTCTTGGGTGGAAAATGGGTCCAGTTCCAGTGCTCTCCCCCATTCCAGACTAAGCAGCAGCTCCTAACACCCTGAGACACATTAAAATGCTCCTATCTGTTCCCTTCTTTCATTTTTTTGATTGGTATCCAGTGGCCATGTTTGGCCTTTGTTTACTTTCTGTGGAAACTTCTGACCTGATTCCTCTTTCTTTTCTAGAACATGTCTATGAAGTCAACAGGTAAGACAGCCTCTTCGTTTCCAGTTTATGATCCCTTCTCTACTCTCAATTCTTTTGGTCATTGTCAGGTAACATAGAGGAAAGGATGTGACATAAAGCTAGACTTAAGGCCAGAGAACTTCGTATTAAGACATAGCTTCTTTCTCCTCTGAGGTACCTTCTAAAGTTCAGTCCCAGTCCAGTGAATACACGAGATAATTTAGGTCTATCACCCATCTGCTCTCTGAATTTTTGGGTGACAAGACCCTGAGAGTTAATTGGTAAAAATTTAGACGAGTGCTGGTCTAATCCCCTATTCTTTTCTCATGGAATGTGGCCTCTTGGGCAATAGCATAGATGCCAGAGAGGCCAGCAACTCTGGAGAAACCATGATGGTAGCCATCTCCCCATTTGGCTGGGCCAACAGCAAGCAAGCTTCCCCGACGGTGGGCAACGACTAGTGTGATGAACTCTTCCTGGGCCAGAAGTACCAGATCATCACCCAGATCAACAGTGACTATGCCTGCCTGCTGCAAACAGTACCCTTGGATAATGAGCTTCTGGCCACTGAGAGCAAGAGTGTTATTAAAATGTTCCACTGGGTCAAGTTCTGTTAAAATAATTATCTATTCAGTTCCTGTCTTTTGCATGACCTCCTTCCTTGCTAATTCTCTTCCTGAATAGCCCAAAGTGTCTGCCCTGCCAATGTTCGGCACGCTAGGAGTGAATTTCCCCTGAAGCAAGCCAGCGGCTGGGTTTTGTCCTTGGTCTTTCTGGTGTCTCCACCTGAGCCTTCCACTGTTCTTTCTCCAACTCCAGAGAAGTGTTCACAGCACTAAGGTTTGTTCATCAGACCTCTAGGTACTGCCAGAAGATCAGAGGGGGCTAAACTCCGCCAGCTCAAGAAACCAACTATGTGCGGGATCACTTCTCTTTCTCTAGGGCCAGACTACTTTTATCTGAGACTGTTATGTTACAAGTCAGGGTTTTGTTCTGCCCTGGACTATGAATCTAGTGCTCTGGTATTCTTTCAGTGCTCAATAAATAGCTCATCATGATAGCAATTTCAGTTGTTCTGGTCTTCTCTCAAGGTGTGGTAGGAGGTACTAAGTGTGATTAAAGTAAAACTGGTTAATATGGGAGTATGAGTCACACTTTGGTTTTGTATCTTTCTTCTTCCCACCAGTGCCATCCCTATCTCACTGCACGGGTAGCCCCAGCTGGATTATAATGACTCTTTGATTAAACAGTGAGCTACTGGCTTCCATTCTATCCGCCACTATTCTGCCAGCTCCACCTGGATGATGCTTTCCAGGTCAACTGGAAGCCTTACAAAGAAGAATCCCTACTACTGTCTAAAGGGACTATACATACAGTGATGAAGGATTTCTTTACAAACTATGTATGGCCAGGGAGATAGCTCAGTGGCACAGCATCTGCCTGGCAAGCACAAGGTCCGGAGTTGGATTCCCGGTACCAAAAATAAATAAATAAAGAAATGTAAAATCAAACTATATATATGCCATCCCTAAGGATTTCCACTTCTTTAAACCACTGGACTAGTTTTATTCCCCATAGGTCATCTTCTCTAGCTTCTGACCCCTTTCTACAATGTGAAGACTTTCTCTTCAAGCAGGGGTTAGGAGTCTGTGCATGAGTGTGTGTGTGTGTGTGTGTGTGTGTGTGTGTGTGTGCGCGCGCGCGCGTAATCAAGCTTCCCTGTAAGAACCTATTCTAGGCCAAGTCCACACTGCTCCCTTTCCCCCATGTAATTTGTGTCAAATCAGTTTCCTCGCTTGTCATGGAAATTGCCATGTTGCCACTTCTGGTTCCAGTGTGGTCACAGGGGCGGTTCATGTTTGTCTAAGATCTGTCACTTTTAGGGGTGATTACAGAAGTCTAAATAGTACATGAAGTGAACAAAGAGGAGCCCTCCACTTCTACATCCATCAACCTGCCAAGTCCATGGTCAAAACTTAAGGATTTTCTTCATCCCTAGATACTATCTTCAAATGGTTTGTGAAAGGAGTAGTTATTTTTTTTTCTTCCTTGGTATGCTTGCAAACCTCTGAAATAAAGAACCACACTCAGTGGAAACCCCAGCTTCCTTCATGAAACAACTCTGAGTCCATGCCAGTAAGTGATTTCAAAGTGAAGTGATAGCAAAAAGTTTCTGGACAGCTAAAAAAGGTGAATTTCTAACATGAGACTGGCCTTAACAGGTAGCTGTTCAGGGGAAAGTACAAACTTAAAAAAAAAAAAAAAAAGGAATATCTTCATAAGAGAGAGAAGCTAAGAAGTTTCTCTAAGAAAGGTTTTCAATTTTTGTTCCATAGAATGTTAGACCCAGGAGATGACCCATGGGAAAAAAATTCCTATGATCAGATAGGCACGGAAAATGCTTCATTCTATAGCTCTATCCTAGAGATTTCTAATGCAACATTAAAATATTTTTAAAATTTTATTTCAAAGAGAAAAAAAAGTTTCATCACAAGATAATAGGAGAATGACAATGGTTGATACATTGCATATTGCTATCTTTAAATTAGTTACTCAGAGTACAAGATACAGACAGTTAATTGTCCAAATAATATTAGCACGATTCTTTGTTTTCAATGAACCAAGAGAGATTAGTGGTATAACTATCATAACTAATATATATATATATGCTTTTCCCTTCTTTCCTCCTTTTCCCCATCCTAGTTTCTCTTTCTTTCTGACCAGTTTCTTCCCATTTCACCATATCTATTATACATTTTGGATCTTATTTACTCTTTCAGTTTCTCACACTAAGGAGACAATACAAAGTTTGCACATGTGAGTCAAATTTATTTGCACCATTAAAATATTAAAGGCTCTACAAATCTTGCAATAAAGTAACTGTATAACTTTGCATAACATATTCCAAAATTCATTCAGCTTCTGAATTTATATTTTGCACTCCTCCTCCAGCTCCGGCCCTTCTCAGGAAGAAAAACCTCCACGTTGGCTGCTACCTCACACACCCTATAGCATTTTGGGATCCAAAGTTTGTTGTTTTTTTTTTTTTTAGCATATGTCTGTAGTATACAACAGTTATGCTTGTTTTGGGGACTTGGTACATGAATACAACATGTCTTCATTTTTGATCCCTTTACCCCCATTTCCTTTACCCCTTCCTTACAGTTTGATATTTTTCACAAAATCCTGGGTGGCATTTAGCCCAAAGGTGGAAAACTAATGAATGAAAAAGAAATCAAGACCAAAAGCTAATGAAATAATAGAAAATGAATCATTCAGTAAATATTTGTTGCTTTGGGGGGTTACTGGGAATCAAACTCAGGACCTTGTGCTTGCCAGGAAGGCACTTATGCTGCTGAGCTATATGGTCGGCCTCTAAATGTTTTGTTACATCAAAATAATGGGCTATTGTAGGGGAAGCAGCAATCAATTAAAGAGTTTTACCTTCTAGAAGCTCACATGTAATGGGGAATTCAAGCATACCCCCGTGACAAGTATCAGTGACAATCTAAAAGTTTATATTGGGTGGTTGGAGATATAGTAGCACATAGCAGGACACAGGCAAGGAGTGTTTTGTGAATGAAGAAAGTAAAAGCATAGTTTAACTGTCAAAAGTCCCCAAGAGACTGAACTTTGGTGGGACCAGGAAATACAGAGCAGAAATGGACAGGCATGGAGAAACACAGATGTTCTGAGAAGGAGAAAAGGAAAGAGGAAAAGCAAAAAGATGGGAAATGTCAAAATTTGTTTAGAAGGTAAGAACGAGTGAGGAGAAAGTGAATTTCTGTGACCTGCTTTGTCACATAAGCCATAAAAATTGTGTGAGAATTCTGGTGTCCTGGCTGTAAGACTGGAAAGGGAATGTGAAGGAAGAAAAGAATAAAAAAAGAATTTAAGAACACCTGTGTCCCCATATCCTCTTTTTTTAAAGATTATTGTGTGCTTCCCAGCGTTCTCAAAATGTGTGTAGACACAGCCCAGGGCTGGAGCTCAGAGACCGCCCTCACCCCCTCACCTCAACACCCTCAGTTGCCGTGCCTTGGTTCCCTCAAAATCTCAGAAATATGACTTGGAAAAGTTTGGTTTGGGGTGAGCATCCTTTAGCCAACCAGCAGTCGGTTTCTTGCATCCAATCGGCCCCAGTTTGGAGCTGCTAGGCACGTGCCGCACTTGGGGTATTTGACAAACTGACACTCTACCACATGGAGTGTCCAACTCAGCTTGTCAAATACACGGAGCGTGGCACTGCAGGACATCAGGTGGAGGGCTTCTGTGGGATGGTGAGACTTTCTTGGAAGATATCCTGCAAGGAAGGAGAAGGGGAAGCAGTGATGAAGTACGTGTTGAGCCTCAGAGAACTTGCAGAGGTTAAAAGGATCACCTAAAACACAGAGAAGTGAGCAAAATAGGCATAAGGCCCCTAACCAGAAGAGGGATCCTAAGTGCTCATCCGGGTTCCTATGGCCCGAGTAGCTGTAACATTTCCAGGGATTCCAAGGTTCAGTGGGTTTCTCTATGCAGCAGAGGGGATAATTTGGTCATCATTCTTCCTCCGTGATTTGTAGAAGGGACTAGACTCCAGAGTCAGTGTCCTTGCTCTCCCTTCTTCCCAGTTCTCCCAAGCTATGTTCCCACGGTGTTGTAGGGGAGGCACCTAAACATTGACTTGAATCCTACCTCTACCATTAACTAGCTGGCCAACCTTAGATGAATTATTTCACCTCTGTGAGCTCTAATTTTCCACAAAATATGTATAAAGAGCTAGATGTGCTGCTATAATCCCACACTCTGGGAGGCTGAGGCAGGAGGATCACAACTTTCAACCCAGTCTAGACAACTTAGCAACTTAGTGAGATCCTGGTTTAAAATTTAAAAAAAAAGAACTAGGGATGTAGCTCAGTTCAATCACTACTACCACAAAAATGTGTACGAGACTGACCTCCTAAATTTTCCATGAGAATGACATGAGCTAATGCATGTGAAGGCCTTAGTTTAGTATGCAATATACCACAAATGTTTAAAAATGATGGCTGTGCCAGCAGAAGTAAAACAGGAGCTACTGGAAATTGACTTAACAGAATTGGGAGTGAAATGACAGACATTTCTTATGGCCTCATCCCTCTCTGACATGATCTCCTTATTCCATAAGGATCCAAGAATGGAAGCAAGATAAGTGCCCTTAGAGATCATCTAGTCTCACTCACTCAAAACTTTAAACAAGAAACTGAAGCTTCATATTGGGGAAGGAGCTACTTAAAGTCACACAGTAAATTGTTTGCAGCTAGGAATTATGCCTTACATCATCCCCATTTTGCCCTGTACCTTTCCTCACTTTGGTCCCATTTGGCCTCTCTGCTTTGTACATCCCCCTGGGAAAAGGGAGAAGCACAGCGATGAAGAGGAATAACCAGACAGTGGAATTTGCAGATGACACTGCGATCCTTAACTCATAACCATCAGATAATAAAGAAGCTGCCAGGACCAGGGTCAGGCCTGGAACTTCTTTCAGAGTTGATAATATCCAGATCCTATTGCTTAAATTGCCAGGCTATAAGTTTCAAACTTATGCCCTTCCTAGTTCTGGCAGTTGATCTGTGAGAAATATTTGGTCTATGTTAAATAGTGGCATGAGAAAAAGAAATACTGGATCAGGGATATAGTTCAGCAGCACAAGCTCCTGACTGGCAGGTGCGAGGTCCTGAGTTTGATTAAAAAAAAAACAAAAAAAAAAAACTCATGGGAAAATTTTACATTCCTGATAATCTTGGAAAAAGAAAAATAGAAATACTCCAAGATTACCAGGAATATAAAACTTTCCCATGAGGTGGGTTTTTTTTGTTGTTGTTGTTTCATTTTGGCTTTTGATACTGGGAATAGAACTCAAGACCTTGCGCTTGCTACACAGGTGCTTGTACAGCTGAGCTATATTTCCAGCCCTCCCATGAGATTTTTCAGCAAGAAATAATCAGTGATTTTTTAACTCTCTCATTAAATATAAAGGGGTGATACGCCCCTCCAGTTTGACATCTGGGAGTGATCTCAAAGGTAAGGATCTCAACTGTCTTCCCCACATCCCCACTTCTCTGTCTATACAATCTACCTTAAAGCATTCCGAAGTGTGATTCTCAGCTAAAGCAGCATCCATGGTCACTATATAAAGTGTAATGGAAAGAAGCGAAGAGAGTTGTGTCCTAATGTAGTGTTGACCACCAACAAGGCAGTGATGGCTGGGGCAAGTTTTTCTTTGAGCTTCAGTTGTCTTCTCTAGAAATGGGGAAAAGAAAACTTACCTGGTAGGGTTGTTGGAAATTGTTGAGCTTTCCAGACCCTCTTACATAGGAGTTCAAGGAGTCTTTGGTTCGGCTGCTGAAGCTGTGGAAGGAAGCTAGCCAAGGAAGCTGGTTACTGAGTTTGAGTTGCGGTGGCCGGGTAAAGAAACAGACTGATAAGCTCCCTCTGTCATCATTGCCTTCATAGCCTACTAGCTTCAGGAAGAAGACCTAGATAACCTGGTGTTATGTGCGACCTCTTGGATGTCCTTGCTGGTGTCATTCACCTCAAGAAGACCAGAAGCTTTATATACAATGCTGCCCCAGTATTGAGTGAAGGATTCAGCAGCTGAGCTGGGAGTAGATTGCTTTTATTTCCACTTTTGCTATTTTAGTCCATGACTTTCTAATGGAATATGTGTAGCAAAAGAAGATACAATTGAGAAAGTTTGACCAGACACATAGGAAAAAGAAATGAATAACTACATGGGGTGAACTGTGGGACTCTTAAAGATTTCCTGTTGGTCCATTAAAGTATATGAAATGTCATCATTTGTTCTCATTTGTAATATAAATCCTCCTTTGGAGAGCTCCACAAAGCTGCTATTTTTGAGGCAAAGGATAGGCCAGTTTTAAAGAAAGGAATTGGGGAGGATAGGCTTGGAGATGAAGGCACAAATAAACATGTGGGGAATCTTTTTACCCAGAATAAATAAACTATAGGAAAAGTGAGTTGAGAAAAAAATCATCAGGACCGTGACTAAAAATACAGACTGGCTCGAGATTAAGGAGGATAAACTGGGACAATTTTAGGGAAGTCCCTGCCTCTTACTGTTTCGGTTCTCCTAGGATAGAACAGACAGGGCACGGGGCTGGAAACTAAAGAGTCAGTTCTGCCACAGTTTCATTGAGTGATTTTAGGAAAGTCCCTTCCTCTTTCTGGACTTCACTATCTCCCATTTGAAAATGTTTTCTTTTCTTTTCTTTTTTTTTTTTTTTCCCGGTACTGGGAATCAAGCTCACAACCTCGTGCTTGCCAAGCAGGTGCTGTGCCACTGAGCTAAATCCCCAGGCCGACTGAAAATGTTTTCAAAAGGTCCATTTAGTTTTGAAATATTAGCAGTCAAGTGTAAGACTAAAAATAGAAAAGCATTTCACCTTTGAGTCATACATCTCAGAGAATACTATATATATATGTATCACTACCAGCTTTCCTCCTGGGTGTGTTAAGCCCTGCCTAGAGATATATAGTCAAGGACCACTCTCATCTTTTTCAATGGAGGGATGACACCTATCAAAATAAGGAATATCAACACTAAATTTTTAAACAGCCTCCAGCGAATCCATCTCTTCCTCTTCTTTAAAAAAGAAAACACTGAGTCTCTTCTTATTCCTTGCAGAAGAGAATCAAACACTGAGTCCTAACCTGGAGAAAGGACCGTTGTAAAGATAAACTTAGGGTAAGTGACAAAACCAGGATTGCTACTCAAATTTCCTGACTCCTGAGACTAAAGAAAATTTTATTGTCTTCTAAATAAACATCGTCCTTTAGTAAAAAATACTATCCCCCCTTCTCCCAACCGCTAGAAACCTCTAGATGGAAAGGCAGCACGAAATTTCATCTGTCTCATGCTTGAACCTCAGTCCTTGAAGAGGATCTGAGAAGAATGGGATGAGCAGATCCAAGTCACCCCAGCTACTATAGACACTGCCCCAGCTTCGTAATCCAAGAAGAGAGCAAATGGATACTATACCTGCCATTGGAGCGGCACTTTGTTCTTGGAGGGTCATGGCTTCCCTGGTGCTGAGCCAAACTGTAGAGGCCAGAGAGAACTGAGCTTTATGTTGTGAGCAGGAAGGTCATGTGTCTTGTAGGGCCCTTGGTATCCTGAAGAGGAAACAGAAACGAGGAAGATAGGCTTGAGGTTAGCCAACGGAAATCTGGGTACAAAGTGACAAAACAGGGCTGTTGTGAAAGGGCCTGCTACTGCAGCAATAGTCCCCACTACTATATCCCCACCCAGTCTCAGCCAGCCTCCACCAGACACTGGCTCCCCACGCTGCAGAGAGGGAGAACAGAAAGCATGGGCTGTTCCTAGCCTTTATTCAGGTTTTCCCTGAGTAACAGGGAATCTTGGAATGTCAGAGCTGTTCCGTTATCTAATCAAAATCCCTGTTGTCATAATTGATAAACTGAATCAATGAGGGATTGAAGGAAATAACCAACATCTCAAAGCAAGTTAGTGGCAAAGCTGCGTATTGATCCCATTTCTATCAAGTCTAAATCGTGTATTTTCTCACTATCAGAATGACTTATGGCTCTAGAATACCCCGTTTATCTCTAACTGCTCTTCTGGTACACAGAACTGCCTACCAAATTTTCAGCACCTAGTACTAAATTAAAGTGATAAGCCCCTTATAAAAAATAGGAATTTCAAGAGGGTGACAGGAGATCATTAAACCAAGTGTGGTGTGGTGTCCTTCTAAGGATGGAGATTAGTGAAACTGCACAGTTCACATGCTTATAAAACTGCCCTTACTAGCGCAGCTACAGCCACAAGTCACAGTCTGACATCCAAGTGATTTACAGAGGAATAGAAAGAAGGAAATTCACATTTATTAGATCGCTTTATTATGTGCTTTATGGACATTGTTTCATTTACTTAACAATCAGCCCTCTGATGTGGTATTATAATTTTTCTAGTTGGTAGGTAAGGAAACTGATGCACATGGAAATAGTTATTAGTCTGAACAAACAAATCTAGAAAATAGTGAAGTTCGGACTCCAAATGTTAGGGTTTTTCCCTCCTTTCCACATTGACTACAATAAAAAGAGACAAAAATAGTTGGCCTTGAGAAAGAATAGACAGTACAGGCCCTTAAGTTCAACTGTGACCTTCAGGGGGAGTAATGGATATGAATATTAAAAGAAAGTAAGTGGTTTCCTACAGCCTCATGTTTTCAGTCCCTCAGAAGTTCCCATTTACAGCCAGAAAGATGATGGTTCCACCACGCAGTGCTCTCCGTCATGAATTCTAATGACACAGAGAATGAGAAGGGCAAGTCGTGAGATGCTTTCAAGATGTCCTTGGGGTAGCCATTAATGATTGCAGTGCTGCCATAGGCAATATTCAACACAGGTTGAAGGAGGGCCCTGGGTAGTATTCAAGTCTGGTAAATAATCTGTCCATACCACAAGCAGGGTTATATACTTATGCTAAGAAAAAAGAGCACATCCTTGGAGGAGGAGCTCTGGGCCCTAATACCAACTCTGTTTCAGCCCATGAGCCTTGGTTACGTACTTAGCCACCAAGGCTGGACTAGATGGCCTTAGTTGCCTCTGCAACTAAAATATTCCAGGTTTTGTTATGACACGCGCCGTGCTTGCTCCTCTACGCTCACTTTGGGCTACCCTGTGGTGGCAGAGCCTAAGGCTCTGGGGACAGCCTGGGAAAGGAATTCACATGCACTCACATTACTCTGCAGAAAACTTCCTCCTACCAGAATAATTTATTAGTTTAAGCATTGAGACTAGTTTCCCCGGATCTAGCTTCTAGAAAGACTAAGTTCCTGTTCAGTTTTGGTTTCTGCCTAAAGCTTGAGACAGAAGCAGAATGGTCCTGTGGGCACTTTGCCAGGAAAGGACCATCTTCAACTCACACTATAGAAATTTAAGTTCAGCTACCCACTCTTTTTTCTGCTCTGTCAGTTAAGGTACTCCACTGGCTTTTTAACAAGGCCTTACTGAAGATAATGCTTTCACTTAAAGGAGTAATTGCGGTTGTCCATTTTGAGCCCCATAGCAGGTAGGTCCCGGAAGGAATATTAAAATCAGAAGGGTTCACAAATTATACCACCTATGCAGAGTGACTGAATTAGAACAAAGGACACTGAGTGTCTTGGAGTTCCTCTTTACTCTCCAACACAAGCACAATGGAAAGGGCCCAGTTTGCAATAAAAGCAAAAAGAGATCTCTTTTTAACAGTTGACTGTGCAAACTGTTGCTGAGGACAACAAAAATTCAAAGAAACCTCCCACTTTGCTTTTCTTTTGCCATGGCGATTCTCATGGAGGGAGATGAGAGGGAAGGGAAGAGAGCTGAGAGCTGACAGAGGGACTAGGCAGGCAATGCTGGGGACAGACACTGACACATTCATTTACTCATTTAGTGATGGAATACAAAAAACACTGAGAAAGAGCGCCTGTGTCTTAGACCCTAGACTGTAACCCCTGGGTTATAGGGCCAGCTCTGTAATTCATTAAGCTTGAATGGTCCCACACACCCTGTCTGAGCCTCAGTCACCATATCAGATGGAGGGATTTATTAGGCTGGATGTGAAGGGTAACAGACATCCACTCAGAGAACTGCATCCCCCTACAGAATGTGACAAATGGTTTCACAAAGGTATAATGTGCCATCAGAGGAGTAGATAGAAAGATACAATTCTTTCAAAGTGAGGGACAAGAGATGATGGAAATTAGAAATTAGAGTCTTAAAAGAATAAGACTTAGCACAATCTTAAAGGACAGAGAGAAAAATATTGATATTCTTTGTCTTTGGAAAACCTTCTCTGACCACTTCCAGCAATAGTTGTTCTCTATCTTACTCCCCTCTGGTCTAAAAAAAAACCCTGTCTGCACTATGCTTATTAGTATCTGTCTCTCCCAGGAGACAAAGAACTTCCCAGAGTAAGGACTGTTTCCGATCCCCTACTGTCATCCTAGGGTGAGGAATAAACTAGTTTCTCTAGAATTGCGAGTGAATAAATGAATGACTTAATGGATAAACATAAGAAGGAGACTTTATGGCCAAAATTACCCACACTCATTAGCTTATCTTGCTTCCATGAAGAAATTTGGAAAGCCTCCTTTTATTTTGAGTTCATCCCTCTGATCAGTCACCCTCATCTACTTTCAGAAACCTTTCAAGAGGCCCCAAGGACAATTGCAAAGCCATGGCCACTTCCTCTGAGCACACATTACATCTCAACTCTGGTGATTGCTCTGCATAGCGTTGCACAGGGGCTTCCTCTGAGAGGAAACCCAAAGCCTGGTGTAATGCATAGAATATTCTTGGTCAAGAATTAAATAATTTCTTGTACACCTGAGCCTGGGAACATGTTTTAATGTGCAGCTCCTCACAAAGCCGGTGATATTGACAAGGTAAATGACATCAGTTAACCCACTAACTACTAATCAACTTAATTGAACAAGGGAGTGTTGAACAACTGCAAATCTTTATGTTTGGTGCCAATAGGAAAAATAAATGTACAACAGAACAGGAATATATAATAACATAATAAAATATAATATAAATTACAAATATTCTAATAGCCATATTAATATTTTGCAAGAATATGGTGGAACAAACTGACAGTTAAGACAGGGAGTCTGCTTAAAGGGCAATACTTTCACATAAAATGTTATGTTAACATGCAATGTGTTCATTATTGCTACTTTCAAGTGGATCAGTAAATAAATATTTTAAATGTCTGCATTTTAATTTCTAAAAAATGAAATACGTGAAACTAATTTCAATAACATATTTTACTGATCCCAATGCATCCAAAATGTTATTTTAACTTGTAAACAATACAAACAATCATTAACAGTACATCTCAATTTAGACTAGCCATATTTCCAGTGTTCACTTGCTATATGAGGTTTCAGCTGCCGTAGTAACCAGAGCAGGTAAAAGATGTGGTTCCCTACCTTCAAGGAATTCATAGCCTCGTCCAGAAGTCAGACTGCTACATAAGTACATATAAGGAATGAATAGAATAGTAGAGGTACAGTGCATGAAAAGAACACTGCACAAGTCATCAGGAGACCTGAACACAGTCTTTTCTTTGACTCTGATTCTCTGTGTAACTTTGAGCAAATCGCTCACTGCCTTTTGCCCTCCATATTTCTATCTCTATAATGAGTCTGCACTAGATTCATTCAATGAATAAATTATATAATGAATGAGGCACTCACTATAGAGAAGTGAACAAGACAGATCAAAGGCTTTCCTTCTTGGCACTCACAGTGTGGTAGAAAATAGCGACAGAATAAATACTTATAAGTAAGAGTGACAAGAAAGTGAGAATTCCAGTGACTTGGGATAACACATAGCAAAGGAAGCTACTCCACCAGGCTTACATAGGTAAAAGAAAATTTTCGGTGGAAGTAACCTTTTTTAATATTTTAAATTTGATTTTAGTTTACTAGTACATGTGTGCACATAATGTTTACATTCCCTGCGGCAAGTTGGTACATATGCATAATGCCTCTTAATTCCTTGGTTCACCACTCCTTGCCTTCCTCCCCTTCTCCCCTCCAATCGTCTATTAATCCCCTTTCTTTTTGTGCATGTTTGTAGTATATAACGTTTGCATTCCTTGCATTGAGTTGGTACATGTGCATAACACGTCCCAGTTCTTGTTTTGTCTTACCTAACCCCTTCACCTCCTTCCCACTACCTCCATCTCTTGATCCCCTTCATCTTTGAGAATGATCTCCCCACTCAGAGGAAGTAACTTCTAAGGTGAGACTGAAAAATGAAAAGGAAGCAGCCAAGTGAATAATAGACAAAAAACATTTCCAATCAGAAGAAATAGTATATGTAGGGGCCCTGACATGAGAAATAATTTGCATACTTCAAGAAGAGAAGAAAGCTGATTTAGCGCGGAATAAAGTGAGCAAGGGAAAGAACAACGCAAAGCGAGTATTCAGTGGGGCAAACTGAAGGAAGCCTGGTATGCTCTGTTGAGGATTTGGGATTGGAATTTACCCAATGAGACGTGAGAAGCTAGAGAGGGCGCAGACAGCACAGTGCCCTTCTATAGCCAAGCCTAATGAAGACAAAGAAGGTAGAATAATTATTTACAACTGGTCTTGGAT